GGTTTTAAATAATAATTGCAATAATACACAATTATGTACCTATTTTAGAATAAAACTGGAACCGCACACCACATATTAAAGTTTGTTTTTCTATTTTGGCCTTAATTTGTATACACTTCTAAAAAATATTGTAGGTAATTCTTAACACGTTCGAGGACAAAACGAGATTATACGTTATCGTTCGAGATTTTAATATCGCACAACGTACGATGACGTTCAAATAACATTTAAATTATACGGCAGAACGTTCATTTCCGATGAAAGTTCAAGTAAAAATCCTTTTAAATGTATCTTGTGTCACAACATATAAAATACCCAACTCTGTACTGTCACGTAGGGTAAGTTTAGAACTATTTAAAATAAGTGTCGTTGATAGTGTGCGGTTACGGTATTCACATACGCACAACGTGTTTATACGTCCCGCGCTCCTATATTCAGCGCGGCTGTGTCACTGTGTACATTACTTTAATGCAAATTAATGATTTTACAGCGTGAAATTGATGTTTAATGGGTTATTGTGTGTTTTTAGATGGATATAAGCGCAAAATAAGACACAAGATAAGCATGTTTGATGATTCCGACATCTCCAACGAGGCGGATCCTTACCTAGATGCATATACACGTTGACGTGATAAAACGGTTGTGTCATGATATGTTTAAAACGATATTTCTTCTTGGGACACTACGTACTGATACGTCGTATAATTTTGTATAGACATGTACTGTGTCATTTTGAAAACCCGACTCAAGTGGTAGCGTCCTCGAACGTGTTAATCACTTCACACAAGAGGACCTAGGACTAATGAAGTACCTATCTAATAGTATTCAATAAACTGTATGATAGGTAAATTTAGAAGTAAAAATATAATAATCACAACGGATACATATGCTGAAAATCAAAGCAAAGTCGTATTGCTGTTTTGTTTTACTTTACAATGAAATGCTAGCATTATTCCCATAGAATGCAGTACCTATTCCTTTTCTTAGGAGTTCATTCCTGATTATATGGTGGTAATTACATTGTATATGTTGTGTAAAGTGGGTGAACTTCTGGAAGGAAACAACCAGAGATAACACTACAACATAATGAGGTTCAGAAACTTGAGTTGAACCGTGGGTATCAATAATGGATCCTAATAACCTTTGCATATCCCCCCCCCTCCTTTATCTCTCTATGACTTTTAAAATTCCGAAAAGAAGGAGGGCATGGTAAAAGAATCTTACTGCATTTACTGAATAGTGAAAGCAACAGTAAAGATATTAGGGTCAGGAAGCCATGATACATATATTTCAGGCTCTTATACTTGTTTGCCTATAGATCTTTGGTGTGATACACCAAGTGGTTTTGAAGGCAAACTTTAATTTAAACTTGTGCATATAGAACATCTGAGTTTATTTAGGTATTTCTTTACCAGCCTTATTTTCTTTTAAGATGTAAACATTAATTCAAGATTAATTTAAATAACAAGTGTTCAAGTTCTTTTTGGTAAAACCGAACGTATTTGACATCTGATGTTTTAATGTCAACATGTCAATCAAACGTAAATATTGTCTACGGTGAATATTTTGTTGTGCGTATTCGCTTAATAGTTATAATATTGGCCTTACAATTTCAATTATTAACCTAATTTTAATATGGAGGCAGCCAAATTCCATAGCTGAGTATGCCGAGCAAACAATGTTAACTTTCAAGTTGAACAGAATCAAAAATCTGCAACTTTTTGTTTAGGTCATACAATTTTCATTAATTTGTAATAAAATCCACCTTATTAAGTGGTACTTATATAGAGTTGTCTAGAGTAAGAAATTAATCCTAAATACTGAAAGAATCACCCTTATCAGTATATATAATATTTAATTTTATTACTATACCAAGTTTACAAGAATACTTCTGTAAAGTTCTGTATTAGTAATATAGTCTAGACATTTCTTATGTTTTGGAAAAGTAAGGAATATCATCAACATAATTTCGTGTAATCAATACTATACAATGTATAAGGTTCCTCTTTGGGAAGACAAATAAGAATTGCGGTTCTTATTTGTCTTCATGTTTGTTATTCACTATTTTCCTTCACTGATATTAAATAAAATGCATTCTTAAGTTGATCATGCATCTGAAGACACTTCAACATATGAGGAGTTTTAGAAATGGTTCTAGATCCATTGTTTATATTAACCCTTTGAGTACCGTCATTATAGACACAATCAAAGAACAATAGGCCGCGGTCACCAGTGTCCTCGCAGTGTTTGACAATTTAATAGTAACATAATTTGTTATAGTCCTTAATTATTTAATTGCCTGAAGGACCATTTGTTCTGGAATGTGAAGATAAACTGGCAAGTAATCACTTAGTCAGTTATCTACATATATGGTTCAGTACAGCACCTTAGCTTTAACAATTTTCCTTCAGAAGTAAAATTATTTTGCTTTTACACCTATGTAGGTATTTTGTGGTATATCTGTCTGAACAGGAATATTAGTAATGGTAATTTATACCTATTAATCCAACTAAGTATGGTTGGGAAACCTAAAGCAGAACTCTATTGTTCAGAAAGGTAATGTGATCTACCTGTACTAGCGATGATCCGGACCTCAGTGCTGTGGGTAGAATTAGAAATTCTGTAGAGGATGCATCAGCCTTGTTGATTTTCTTGTAATCATGTGTAGTTTGCTTTAGTTTTGGGTTTTTACTCACACACACACATACACTTCTTGTTTGTACATCACACAGTATTTGTTGATGTGGTTGGCATGAAGTTGGTAGTCTAAAAGGTTTTCTTGGATGTTCTCCAATTCAAGTTTAGACTCTCTGATAGCTTTACTTACAATAAACTTGTCTTGAAGCACTACTTTAATAACGTATATATAGCTAGAACACCTATTTGTGTTCTGATCTTCTCCACATCTTCATTCAGGGGCACATGTTATTAATTTACATAACAGTGTGGCTGTATCCTTAAAATCCTTAATAGGTTTGTTAATTATTTTGCGAACAGTAACTGCTCCTAGGATCATTTGATATTCACAATCATATCGTCTCACTCAATCCCAGCTTTATTTAGTGGAGCCTCCTCCCCTCTTATTAGGTTATAATAATTATGAAAAGGGAAAATAAGTGTAATCATTTGATAAGAATGGCTTTGTCCAACATGCAACACTATAGAATAGCTGGCTAAGGAAATGTCCCATTTCCCATAAGCATAGGTAGCAATCACTCCGGAGTATATTTACTGACTGGAGTGAGACCATAGGAGTAGTTTCCAACTCATGTTAATCGGCTTCGGTGCCATGCCATGGTGAGCGGCTTCAACTGGAATGGCTTCATGTTCTTCTGAGGCAAAGCGAACTGATTTTAAGTTTCAAACTGCAAGGTAGTTTAAATGATCCACGGCTAACCTCTCGTGAAAGCTCTAGGATTGCAGTTGGAAATGTTTGACTGAATGTGACTTAAACCAACGGCTAACCTCTCGTGAAAGCTCTTGTGGTTTGCTTCAAAGTCAAGTAACCAACGGCTGAACTCTCGTGTAAGCTCTTGTGGTTCGTTCCAAAGTCAAGTAAACCAACGGCTAACCTCTCGTGAAAGCTCTTGTGGTTAATTCTATAGTAGAGTTACCAACGGCCAACCTCTCGTGAAGGCTCTTGTGGTTCGATCTACAGTAAACATGTAACCAACGGCCAACCTCTCGTGAAGGCTCTTGTGGTTCGATCTATAGTAAACATGTAACCAACGGCCAACCTCTCGTGAAGGCTCTTGTGGTTCTATCTATAGTAAACGTGTAACCAACGGCCAACCTCTCGTGAAGGCTCTTGTGGTTCTATCTATAGTAAACGTGTAATCAACGGCCAACCTCTCGTGAAGGCTCTTGTGATTAGATCTAGGTATATAGTAAACGTGTGCTACGTTACAAGTGTGTATGTTGCGTAAACAATCAGTCTCAAGGCTATCCGCTTGTGGAAGCTATTGGAAAACGCCCCACAATGTGGTGTAAGTAAGTACCTACAAGAAAAAACTTACCCAACTGACGACAACGAATGCGTCCTCTCGCCGGTTTCGCGCAATTATCCAATTCCTGCATACACTCCATCAGTTTTTCTATCTGCTTGCGACGTTTTCGACCCATTTATGTAGGAAAATCACCAAATAAAATTGAAAAATTTTCCAGTACGACGTGACAGGTCGTGCACAAAGAAGTACAATGATGTTGCCAGTGAGATGACCATAGAGTATAAATATTTTTTTTATGAATGTGTTCATCTTTAAATATTGTGACAGCGTGCCCAGATTAGTGCCTACTACTAGTATAATTAGCGAGGATGACGCTACCTATACAATACAAGATCATCCGAACATAGTACATTTTTTTAAACTAGATATAAACATGAAGTATCCAAACCGGTTTAGTCGTAGTGTACCAGGTTATCACAGGTACGATACAAGCGCCCTCAAATACTCCAAATTTTTTTTGACAAATTGGAGGATATGTTATTTTTGTAAAGAAATTAATTTTGAATGATGACTTATGATCTGATTTTAAAATTGAGCCAAGTATATTTATTAATTTATTTGTTCAACCAAGTATGGTCGTTATTATTTGACTTACTGCTAGGGTAAGGGCTATAATGATAATGATATGTCTTAACATAACAGAATAAAATAACAAGATCTATAATTTAAATAAACAAAAATGTGACAATTAATTATTATGTTTTCGGCTTACTCACGTAATAATTTGACGAGGAACTCTACTAGTTTCGACTAACAGCATCGCGACAGTCGCCCCGTCGCGAGTCGCGAAATACTGCTCATGAATATGAGCCTCTAGCATGGCTTGAAACTAGTCGAGTTCCTCGTCAAACTATTACGTGAGTAAGCCGAAAACATAATAATTTATTTAGTACGTCTCACGAAAGCTACAATACAAAAATGTGACAAGTTACGAATCTTTCCAGTTTCTACTTAATACATAGCTGCGCCAATCCAGAAAGGAAATTTTAACATAGTGTTACTTACATTAAAATATTAATATGTCTTTTTGTTTGTCCACAGTGATGCATTTCGAGTGTTATGGCAACGTTGCAGTAACGTACTGACAGTTAACTAAGAATTCAAAATGGCGGAAGCGGAGGGAGGAGCAAGCGAGCAAGATGATGTTTCATTCTTGCGTACGGTAAGTCAGATTTTTATATATTTTTGAGGCATAAATCACGCGTTGAGCAAACGAGCAGCAACTGGAACTGTGAATAACAGAAAAATATGATACGAAATGCGTTTTTAAAATACTTTAACTACTAGTAAAACTTTCGAGAAGTAGAAATCGGTGAGGAGATTCAGAGTCAAAGTTGATGTACCGTATAAAAGTATCTACTGTTACACATGCTCTAAAAATAGCATGCTAAAAAGCGTTCTATTGAGCATGCTCAAAAATGTTCAAAATTCGAACGCCTGTCGATTCGCAACCATGCCATTGGCACACGAAAACAAGGATCATTACAATAGAAATAAAACAAATACATTCAAAAGAAAAACAAAACATTAATAATAGATTTTATAAAAGAGAAAGCAGCATGGAGCATTTTTTCTTATGATCCACCGGGTGCTCATAAGGACGCTCGAGGGGTTAAATGCCGGAGCAGACACATTCATAGACGTTTTAACTAATAGACTTAACTATTTAAAATAAGCAGTTTTTCTTTCTTTGTTGTAACTATAAAATGAAAAAAAAAACAATGCAGCATCATCATTATCATCTATCATCAACAGCCGTAAGACGTCCTCTGCTGGACAAAGGCCTCCCCCTTAATCCTTCACGTCGAACGACAACTCGCCATTTGCATCCAATGGCTCCTCGCAATTCTGACAATATTGTCGGTCGACTTAATTTAAGTAAAATATAAACATGCAAATCTGTTCCAAAGTTTATCCATCACGTCAGAGTGACATCAGTTTAATATGATTAACGGCTCCCGCGGCAGTAAACAGTGTCGAACTGTCGATAACTGCTAGTGATGTGCTTACGATGACATTATCGATAAGACTGTGTCGATAAACTTCCTAAATGATGGCCATTAGGGGTTCTAAACTGTCGTGGTGGTTCGGAGGTTTAAGACGCCTGCTTCTCATGCATGAGGGTGCGGGTTCGAAACCTACTAACGGCAAGTACCAATGTGACTTTTTCCGAGTTATATGTACTTTCTCAGATTATTTAGACACCACTGACAAACGGTGAAAGAAAAACATCGTGAGGATACCTCAGCTTATAATTTCTAATTATAAGTTTGAAATCGCCAACCCGCATTGAGCAAGCGTGGTGATTAATGCTCTAACCTTCTCCGTGTGAGAACAGGCTTTGCTCAGCAGTGGGCTTTTATAGGCTGTTGATGATGATGATTCTAAACTGGCGTCTGATGCTTAGTAACGTTGTTTTTTTAAGAAGTTAGGACCTCGTTGATCTAATGGTCGTAATCAAGACTGTCAATCACGAGTAGGTAATGTGCATTCAATTCTAGAGTAAAAGATATAATAATTGTAGATCTGTGGATGTCAAAATTCTATTTATTAGCACAGTAACCTTGTAAGTTACCTTGAAGGTTAGCAGAAGTGCTCGTGGCTTGGTCGCAGGTTCGATTCGCGCAATAATTTGTGTAATCCTCAAATTGTTCCGGGTCATGTGAATTATGTGTTTGTAATAACAGCGGCATACATGTGCCCGCGATACAGGACAATATAGTAATGAAAATGGACAACGTTTAAAAATAACACCCCAGCCTGTTCAAAATCATAATACCTACCTCGTCTACTAAAAGAGGTATTGAAGTCAAAGTCAAAGTATTTATTCCAACAAAATCATAAATAAGTACCTACTTTAAAATATCAACAAATAAAGATAAAATAATAGTCATTCAGTCTGTCGGTTAGTAAAGCTAGGTGCATATCCAAAGTACATTATAGTATAACTTGCTGTTACCCGCGACTTCGTTCTCGTGAAATTATCCATATTTCTTGTTAATTTATACTTTTTTGATGCGACAACGTGTTGATTGGCGAGGCGTATTTGAGAGCTAGTACGAAACGGAACGTTTATTGTCTACTCAAGATGGCGACTGCGGTTTGTCTGTCAGTGTCATTAAAATGAATTAATAAAACGAAATAATCTCCGTAATCCGAATTTTGTGGATATAATATGTTGTCGACTCGAAATCGATATTTTTTATGTTTTGTTATTCAGGTAATGTTTCGATCGAGTCTACCGTACCACTTGACGAAATTATTAGTATATTATTGTAATAGTTTATCATATTCAAAGTTCTAAAAACCTCTTTGTCTGTCATAAGCACCCTTTAACTATATCCCTGCTTACCCTTTATTAAAGCTGAAGCACAATATTACGTTAGCCTGTCTTTGATAAGCGGCTTACCCGGATAAACTGTCAGTATTAAACCTCAAGATTATAACCGGCTGTGACGGGTGTATGATGCTGTTGTGTATTATATCAGTAGTTACATAATTATGAATATACTAGCTTCTGCCCGCGACTTCGTACGCGCAATCCCGTTTTCTCCCGTTCCCGTAGGATTTTTAGCATTTTTTTCTGTTGTTAAAACCTTCTCAAATCGGTCTTGCCGTTTTCAAGTTATAGCGTAACAACGGGAATCGGGTTTCATTTTTATATATATAGATGAGTACTATATATGTTATGGTAGATAACACACATCACCCATTTCCACATTTCGGCAGTTATAATATCCAGTACAGTTATAATGTTCCGGTGTTTTCATGGTTGTATCTACTGTAGATCCTGGCTTACAGGAGTTGCAGCGGTTTTGGAAGGTTGGGGCGGACTTGTCCCTTAAAAAAAGCTATACCTAACAGTTATAAAAATTGTCGTGATGGCCCGATCGTTTAAGGCGCCCTCTTCTCATATATGAGTATGCAGTTTCGAAACCTACCAACGGCAAGTCACATTGGGACAAGTCCTTCGTCAAACAGTTACGTGAGTAAGCCAAAAATATACTTAATAGTTATAGAATTTACCTTTTTTTCTTTTAAAGCAATCTTTACCACACTCTAAGATTTTCGCTTTTTTTAAAGGGCAAAAATCGCCCCATTCCTACTCCTGTTTTCGAGCCGGAGTCCCGGCAACCCGTTAAGTTTTCCGCGTCCTGTAAGGATTTTCTCCTATGTCGTGAGTGTATTAACAAAACAGTTTCACATATACATGACACCCAAACCCTGACAAACATTTTTTGGATCACACAAAGAGCGGTAACCGGTTGCCCAGCTACCGCATCAACCATACAATCATATGCTAATATTATGCTTCTGCTTCCTCTGTAGAAGTCATGAAGTTATCCGAAAATAAAGTATTATTACCTTAAAACGAATAGAAATTCATTTATACTTTGTTCCCTGACATTTTTAAACCAGTTTCGGACTTATTACATAAAAGATAGGGTTTCAATTCGAGTCTTAACCAAGTTCATTTCTAAATGAAAACTCTTAAAGGAGTCAAGTTGGTAATTAATGGTTATTTATTCATTATTATGTCTAACTTCATTATTTGACTTCTTAATGTTATTCAGGCTTGGACGTTAGAGCTCATTTTTATTAATAAACTTTTCTTTAATGGAGTTTATCTTTTGGTAAGAAAGTAATGAAGTATATTGTGTTACAAAATATGTACTTTTGCCCTATTGTTAAACACCTGAAATGATCTAAGGGATTTAGGACTACCTACTCTATACTTTAACATCCTTACTAATATTATAAATCGGAAAGTGAGTTTGTTTGCTTGTTCCGACTTCACGCCGCAACTACTAAACCGATTGCATTGAATTTTTGCAGACGTAAAGTTAGTAGTCTGGATTAAATAATAGAGTACTTTTTATCCCGGAAAAATTTGATATTCCCGAGGGAAAACAAAAGTATTGGTATAGATGGCGCTGTATGTATAGGTCTATGTCACATAGGCTACTTTTTATCCTTTTGCGACGCGAGCGAAGCCGCGGGTAAAAGCTAGTCTTTACATATATCATCGTCACAGGAGACATGTCACGTCCGAAGAAATATGTACTTTTACCCTATTGTTAAACAATAGAAATGACCTAAGTGTTTTTGCTTATACCTATGTATATGGTACTATCTTCTGCCATATCTGTTATTCCAGACTATAATCTACCCATGTTCTAAATTTTATTTATTCTTCAGCCGTTTTGATGTGAACCGTGGTAAAAACCAATCTTAAATTATAGTCCTATGTCCCCTAGATGGGGCAGAGGACGTCCACAGAGGTTCTCTATCTTGAGCGGTCTTAAGCTTCACCTCGTTCCACGTCATTCCGATGCCTCAAGCACAATGAGTGTATTCTGCGCCTTAAAACAGAATCGACTCACTAGGAAGGTAACCAAAACCGAGCATATCCGTAGGCTCTGAAACTGCAGCCTCGCTAGCTGATTATAGGCACAGTGGGCTAATCACATGCTTGCCTTACAGATTCCAGAAACCGGCAAAACTAGTATAAGATTATTTAAAATTAATGAAATCATTTCTAGATCTCTAATGTTGGAATACTCAAACACTACTCAATTTTAAGTCGAACTTAAGCATAGTTCTGTCTCTACAAATTCTTTGTAAAATGACAGAGATGGCACGATATTTAAGTACGACTTAAAATTGAGTAACGTTTCTAAACGTAAAAATATAACCACCCAACCAACTACACAGTAATAAGAAATTACTCACGTAAAACTACTTCGTAATAAGGCTTCCAGTCTCGATACATTTTCGAGTCCCGGGAAAAAAAAATCGAGACTGGGTCCGGTCCCGGGAGTCCCGGGAAAAACGAGACTTTCGAGACTAAATAAGTTTCATACTCAAGGTTTATACAATTAGGCAAATAAAACAATATGTTTCAATTATGCACTTTATTAATCAACTATTACAAAAAAAAAACAAATGTATTATATAAAATTAACATTTTTCATTTTTAAAATATGCACGCAGAAAGCAAAGGGCCTTCAATGACTTTTCAGATAAAGAGGATCTGATTTTGTTACAAAAGTACCCTGCATTTGAAAAAGCTCTCTCTGCTTCGACACTAGTAGGGGGGATGGATAGTAAATAATTATAGCACTGATTTAAATGCTTACCTCTGTCACCACCGTTCTCAAA